CGTTGTGGTACGGGGCATAATGCCTCATGCCTCTGTGTATAGAAATGTGCTGCGATCTGCGGATGCGCCTTTTGGTTTAATCGAACCCGGCTAAGTTTCACAATGAATAAACGGCGATGCAGTAGTAAGTGAAAGAATGTTCGACACAGTTTCGTAATCGGAGCCGTGGCCATTGGAACTTGTTGTGATGTTTGGACCGCATGATGAACAGTGCGACCCAAATGGGGGATGTTAAAACCCTCCTGGCCCCGTGCCTAAATTGGGAAGCCGTTCTGAGGTCCATGTCCTTGTTGGTTGAGATGTTCCATTGGATGCCACATTTGGCTCTAGGTACAAGTAGGGCTTAAGGTCTTGCATGAACTTAGAGAGAAAACAGGTTCAAGCGCGCTGCTGATATCGGACGTGTGTGTGGTTACTGGACAACACCCTTACAACAGTTTGCACTGGTTTGGCTGTGTCGGTTTGGCCGTATATCCTTTCTACGTGGTTGAGTACAATCAGCTGGAAGCCTGGTGAACAGCGTCCCACGGGACGTCATCTTGCGCTCTTGACATCCTGGACGCCACCCTGGAGGCCGGCAACTTGACAGAGGTCGAGGCGGACACGACAGCCCAAGTTCCTCGTCGTCGGCCCGCAACTTCCTGGCGCGGCGCTCCAACAGTGAGAGCTCCGTGGCCAGCGGGCGGCTTCGAGCTGGAGGGCTACGCCATGGCCCTGAGCGCCATGGCCCTGAGCGCCTTCGCCTGGAACATCGTGTGTGACGCCGATAAGGCGCTACTCCTTCGCCTGCCGGTACCGGCTGGGCACGGCCTCCAACGTGATGTGCGTTAGTGCGGCCGACAACGACTACGTGGGCGTCACCGGCACCTTCCTCGGCGCGCATGGACTTCTCGGGCGGAGTTGCAAAGCTGCACTTCGGCGCCTTCGGAAAGGTCGATCCCTGGCCTAGTCGGCGGGCACGCTGGACCTGTACAGCCTGCAGATCAGGGCCACTGGTCTCCGTGACAGACCTGCTGGCCGACTTGCCGGCCCTCACGGGCTCGCCACGCTGGACGGGCTCATCGCGCAGGGCAAGTGGGCTGCGACCAGCTGCTGTGCAACGACGTGAGCTGCGCGGACGTGTTCATGACGGGCGTAGAGGCCTGGCGCGATCTCCTGCGCAGCGATCACGGCCACCGGCACCGTCGCCGGAGCCACGCTGACGTCCACCGGCGCCGTCTCCGGCAGCTCGCAGGAGCGGCCAGCATGGGCCTGCTGAGCTCGGCCACCAGGATAACCGGCAGCACCCTCATCATCAACAACGCCAACGCGGGGAACTTCACCACGGTCGGGGACGTGTCCACGGGCACCCTGACTGCCTCCGGCGCAGCGACCGCGGCGAGCGCTGACGATCACCGCAGCCTCCACGGGCCCGCTGGACTGTGAGAGCCTGGACTGCACCTTCACTGCCACGAGCGGCGGCGTGTCGACAGGGCCCCGCAATTGTTTGCGCCCAACACGCTCACGGTGACCAACACCTCTGACTTCGCGGACGACCTCACTTTGACGAAGAACTGGGCGGGCTGGAGCAAGGTGCAGATGTCCAACAACAGCGCGGCATCCAACAGCGGCCCGCTGCCGGGCAACCAGAGCGCGCTGGTCTTTCTGGAGCGGGACGGCGGGGCGCACCAGTGCGAGCTCATCATGATCAACAACGAGGCGCTGGTCCAGACGAAGAGCCTCTTGACCGCAGTGCGGTTTGAGAGAAAGACGCGCAACCCCCTAGATTATTGACGGGGAGGGAACACATGCAGGCACACAAAATCTCTCGCAGAAGACATGAGTGCTCACAAGAACACCGTCCAACGAAACACGCATCGGCCTCTTGAACACGTCGGTGAACATCAGACGCCCGCTCATGAGATATCCTGCAAGATGTCGGGACACTCAGCTCATGTCACTACACGTCAAGTCATCCGTGCTTCCAAAGGCTGGGGCCGTCATCTGCCTCACAGACAAAAAACAAAAGGCAAGACGGGCCCCAGTCCCCCGGCTCCCTTTTCACGGCAATCAAGCAACCCGCGCGTCAAGCAACTCACAAAGCTTTGTTTCTCCGCTATTCGGACTTCCACTGTGCATCGCTGGCAGGCTGAGCCATAAACAGGGGGCCCTGCAGCTTCCGCCAAAGGCCCGCACTGACCATCGCGTGGCCAGGATTTGAATTCTCACAACGACTCAGGCATCTGTGCTGCAGACTGAGCTATAACAGCGGGCCCTGTAGCTCTTGTGTCTGCTAAAAAGCCGCGCAGTTGCAGGCATCATGTAGCGGCCCGAGACAAACGAGTGGCTCGTTGAAGTCTCAGCCGGTCAAAAAGAACTACTGTGGCTTCGGGTGCTAAAAGCAGCGATTCTCACCCACGAACTTGGCCACGTACTTCCCGCAGTGCTTGCGGCCGAAGCTCTTGTTCCTGCAGAAGCTCTCAGCCAGTCCTCCATGACCGTGGCGTAGTTGGAGCACTCCACGGCCGGCTTGCTGGCGATCTCGCAGGTCTCCACAAACAAGCTCCACACAAAGTCGGCCGACTCATTCCCCATGTAGGCCCGTGTGGCTTGGGCAACGGGCCGTGCGAAACACGCTGATCACTTTCAGCAGCGCGTACAACAACCCGGCAGTTCGCTTGGAGCTTCTCCTTTTTCTTGTGGTCAACCAGAACTTCCCTCTCATGTGGTGCACGGGGTTGAGCACAAAAGCAAAATGGCCATTCGGTGACCACAACCCTCCTATCTACTCCTCCATCCATCTCCAAATTCAATCGGGAGTTGAAGCGAACAGGTTCCGACAACCGCCCTCTCCGAGTAGAGTTTCAAGGTGTCTGGGTGCACCCTCACGGAGGTGCTCATCTCCGAGAAGGCCAGCAAACGGGCGCCGCGGAGTTCCACGCGGGCCGGGGTGGCCTGCTGGCTGTTGAACCCCCGTCCTTGCCGTCAATCAAGAAGATGTTGAATTCTTCCAGGCCCGTTGATCCACACAAACGGTGTGCTGCGCTCTTCAAGAGGAAGAGGGTGGTGGACATATTCTCCCAGCAAGCAGGAGTACAGCACCCGCACGGCCTCCAGGGAGGGGTGGTCAAACACCCGCAGCAGCTTGTCTTTGAGGGCCTCTGGCATGTCCGCCTCGACATACTTCAGGCCGGGCTTGCTCTCGTACTCCGCCACCTCTTGCAGGACGCCCAGGTTAAGCTCGTCCAGGACTGCAAAGAGTTGCCGGGTAGGGGATCCCCAGGCTCTTTGTGATGACCACATCCTTGACCGTCATGTTGACCGTGTTCCGCCGCTCGTCATCACCAGTCGTCTATAGTCCTCCCCATCCAACCTGCTCTGGAAGCTCCAGTCATACAAGGCCCGGCCGGAGGCGGCACAGCTTCCCGCCTGTACATCGATGCTGGGAAGACCCTTCCACATCTCCGGCAGGCACTTGACGAGCACCTGAGCCGAGCACTTCATCTGTGCGCGCCGGTTCTCCAGCTGCCATTGCCTAATCTCTGGGCAGATCGCCTCCATGTGCTGATTGGAGCAGCTGAAGACCAATCTGCCATCCTTGAGGATGTGGTGGGGCAAAATTGAAGTGACCAGACGGTCGATTCCCTCCACGCCCTTGCTCAAGCAGGCGCGGACCAGCCGCCGGTCCTGCAAAGTCACAAAGAAGCAAAAGCGACGCGAAAAAAGAAAAGAAAAAAGGTTCGGGTAACCAAGGTCTGGACAAAGGTTTGGGCAAGGGTTTGGACAACCCGTGCCTGCTCGACTCGAAACCAATCCTCATCTCTTGTCTCCCAATCCAGATCCGCTCATGATCTCATCCAGCGACCTGTAGGGCTTGTGCTTCATAGGAAACCCGACCTTCTTTTCGAGTTGCTTGACCAACGCCTCCTGCTGTTCTGGACGGCAGGCAAACGCGACCTCCAGGCCAATCTTCTCCGTTGTCTCCCTCTCCTGTGCATGGCTGTCGGTAAATGATGTTTCTGTGACACCAACCCTTTGGCCGACTAGTGGTTGATTCCTACTGATGAGGGGGAATCCTGGCATCACAGAAAAACAACAAAAAAGGGCCGTTTTCGACAACCATGCTCCTATATCTTGTGGAGAAGCTCCAAGAGCTGGCCCTTCCAGTTGCCTCCCTGCTCCGCGGACAGCTCCGGGTGAGCCTGTGCATCGCGCTGTGTGAGCGCCCGGATCTCACGCATGAGCTCAGACACGAAGTGCGGCAGCTTCTGGAGCTGGTGCTTCTGCATGAAGGTCCTCCACATGACACATGCCACCCCCATTCAGGATGCCACTGAAAAAGCGCTTCGCCTCCTCGCGGTCACCGACGACCGCATAGCAAGCCTCACGGTTGCATCAAGCGGCGGACCTGGACAGCATCTGGGTGCCGCCGTATCAGGGAATGCCCAACAGAGAACACCTGGTCCACGTCACAGATCGGCAATCCTGCCCGGCACAGCTCCTTGAAGAGCTTGTCAAAGCTAAAGGCCGAACAAGTGGCGTTGTAGGAGCTGATGTGAGCTCCAAGAACCGGCCATGGATCTCCTCGCTGATCTTCCCCTTCTTCTGGGCCTCCTCATAGTCCTTCAGACAGATGCCCGACACGAGCCGGGCGTCGGTGTCACGGTAGACCGTGAGGACCATCCCGATGGCACCGTTGGGGCTCGGAAAAAAACAGAAAATCGTTTTTGGAAACCCTCGATACGAAAAAGCTCCGAAAATTTGGGTGCCCTAGGGGTTTTCGCCGGGGGGGTCGGGAGTTATAGCCACCCGGGGGCTATCCAAAAAAAACATCACCAGCGCGCCAGCACCAGCATCATCACCCGCACCACCAATCCCAAGGGCGACCCAACAGCCAAGGCGCTTGACAAACACACATGGCTCGCGCCGCGTTCTCTCAGAGCCCTGGCCAGTCGATGTAAAGGTCCCCCAGGAATAGTCTTGGATCCCCGCTCGAATCAAGCTCCGGCCTGCGTTGTCAGGCAGCTTGTTGAAGATTCGTGCCGCGTCCAAAGTAGCTGCGAACGCAGCAGCAGACGCTGCAAGCTCAGCGCGTGACAACAAGCGAAGCAATATTTGAATCCTGTTGTTTGGTTTAATGGAGTCAATTGCCAGCGCAGCTGCAAAACGCAGAGGCCTGCCGGGTCGCCAGCGCTTCCAAGGTGCGTTTTGAGTTTGGCAACGCCGCGCTGTGTTTGGCGGAGCCCCTTTGCCAAGCCACAGGCTTTGGAGCGAGAAGACGCCCAGGCGTGGCCTTTTTTTTGGGGGGTGTTTTCTTCTGTTTTTCGCATGTCCTACAGGTTGCCCAGCTTGCCCTCAAAAACATGGCTGCGCTGCAACCGCAGCAGGCTAAGTTGAGTTGATAGGCGTAAATTTACCTTGCTTGCAGCGGTGTCAGGACGCAGCAGCGGGGCAAAGGCAAGATAAGTATTTTTCCAGAAGATGTTGCCTGCGTCGCGCTGTTGACATGCTTGACAGGCTCGATCAGCCGCGCGAAGCACTCCTCAAGCAAGCTTTGGAGGAGGCTAAGATGCGGTGGTTTCAATGTTTCTGGCTTTCAAAGCGCAGTGACGCAGACGGGTTTGACACGCACTGCCAGGTACGGAAACACAACTTGCAGCTAAAAAGCCAAGCAGCGCTGGCCTGCGTTGCATGCAGGGAGGCTTGAGCCAAGTGGGACGCAACGCGGCCAGATGGTTTTTAAGTTTGATAATTGCACGCGTTTAGCATTGATTCTGTTCGCTACGAGGCGGGTTAGGATTTGTTTGGAGTAAGGTCAGTTTCGGTTACGGAGTTTGTTCAAGGTCGATTCAGCGAGGTTTTGGTAATTTCCGACTGGTTGGAGTTGGTTTGAGGTTGGTTGGTTGGTTGGTTGGTTGGTTGGTTGGTTGGTTGGTTGGTTGGTTGGTTGGTTGGTTGGTTGGTTGGTTGGTTGGTTGGTTGGTTGGTTGGTTGGTTGGTTGGTTGGTTGGTTGTGCGAAAGTACACGGTGCATTTGCCGCCTTGGTTGAGTAGCAGAGATTCGTCAGGAGACCTTAGGGAAACCTGATTCTGTCATGGCACTTGGACAAGCTGAGGGTTTTGCAGGAAAGCTAAGACTCTGGAAAGCGAGAGGACTGGGAAGATTGGAGCTGGGATTCCAGGACATATTTGAGCATGCTGCAAGATTCAACAACGATTATGGACCGCATTGAGGCCAACGCAGACACACTTGTCCAGGACGCGCGTTTGGCTGTAGCGGGGAACCAGGATGCCACAGACAGAAAAATTCAGAATTCCCGAAGGCTGCGTAAATTTGTGCAGTGGCTCCAAGGCTGGTAGCAGGCAGAACATTGGCTGCAATGGGTATGAAACCTGGAGAAGATTGTGTTCCAAATTTGCATTGCCGGATGCAACGCGGCGCATGAATTTGCTCAGCCAGACTGTGGAGCCAGATTTTGGAGTTCAAGTTTCACTCCGGCACATTTGAGCAAGATTTCGGGAGACCATTAAGGCTAGATATGAATCTCAAACCGATGCTTCGGCTGACCTATGAACAAACACGAAACGTGATTGTGCAGTGTTACCATTCCAGGCACATTTTTAGGAACATGCCAGGGAATGACAACCAAGGACCAGCGCCCATGGGGGCGCTGAAGGGATTCAAAGGAAAAGGCAAAGGCAAAGGATTCAAAGGAGCCAAGGGATCACATTGGTCATACAACAAAGGAGCATTCAGCAAAGGAAAAGGAAAGGAAAGGATTTGAAAGGAAAAGGCAAAGGAAAGGATCCAAAAGGTAAAGGAAGGGTTCCAAAGGAAAAGGAAAAGGGTCAACTGCAACCTGCTGGATTTGCGGCTCTCGTGGCCACATTTCCAGAGCATGTCCGCAGAGAGCTGTGAGCGGACTGATTGAGGAAGATTGGAGTGAAGATTGGTCCGAAGAGCCATGGCCTGATTCTGGATTGAGTTGGGATGATGGAGCAGATTGGTCCTGGGATTTGTCTTGGACAGGACAGTCAGACTTTAGAGACTTGTGCTGGCTGCGATTCTGCGTCTTCATCGGCAGGACCATCTCCAGCACAGCAAGGAACCATTGGAGCAGTGACACAGGCACCGCCGGGATTGAGCCCAATCATTTTGATTGCTGCACTTGTCATGAATTCTGTCACCTCAGAATCCTCTTTTCAGATTTCTGCCACTCGTGGCAGGTCGTCTGATGCTGAAGGTGAGAGTTGGGTGACATTTAAGGAGCATGAAAGATTGTTTCAGTCGATGTGTTGCTTGAACACTGGATTGGATAGCGTGCCATGTTCGAATGCCTGCCCCTGTTCCCGGGCAAGACTTGATAGATTGGTATGATGAGCCAGTGTCCGTGCAGGATTCGTTTCATTCCATGACCACGTTGAAGGGTTGCGGCTTGGATCACGTGAATTCGAAGTTTGTGAATACATTCTAGCAGTTGAGGAGTCAGCGTCTGCTCATTGCTGTCCACCAGACTTTGGTAAACAGTTGCTGTTGCTTCCATTGAATGGAAATGGCCAACCATCGAAGAGTGTCACAGGACAGCCATTGAACATGTGTGGGAGAAGATGGGTTGGTTTGAACTTGGATGGACAAGATTGCAGGGATTCCGCGTAGCATTGGATGGACCAGACTCATTGGGCTTGTTCATGCCTATTGGTAAAGTAGTCAGTGTTCACCGAAAGGCTCACGTTTTTTCCTAGGTCCAAACATTTTTGCATTTGACAAACCCCAATTTGAAGAAAAGACCATAGCACCCACATTTAAGCCTACCATGTATCTCAACAATAGTTGGGAACTTGGTCCGCAACGCTCTGTGCTAATTCGGCATCACAAGCGCGCAAGGCGTGCGCTATTCACGCCACGTGGCATCAAGGACAGGCCCATTCCTGTGGAAGATGTCGTCCAGACGCACTACTTACGCGAGGAGACTGTCGTCGATGGTTGGCGGGCGATAGATTCTGCGCAACGGGCGTTGGATCTGTGCTTGTTGCAATCCGCGATTGACGGGAAAGCAATCCACAATCCCATGCGGGAGAATTGGAAGAAGTGAAGGAGATTGTGGAACGGCGATTGGGCATGAGACAGGAGGACATTCACACCCAAGTTTGAGATTAGTATAGACCATCAGTTGAGGAATTGTCTGTATGTGCTAGATGAGGCCGTCGGGAAACATTGGTTGTGTTCCTTGACGGGAGCTTCCAATAAATTCACTGATTCAGTTTTTGGCGGACACACCGGCGCTAAGTGGATTCAGGCCACATTGGCAGAGATTTCTTGATTTCATAAGGCATTCATTTAGTCATGTATTTGTGAGGTCTCACATAGACCCCATCATACATCTGGGACTTAAGAGACAGCTTGGCGATGCAGGAGATTGTCTCCACGGCTGGATTCCGGATCCGGGCCCGGATTGGGGAATTGATGCTCGCTGCCAATTCATTGCAGCAAAGCGATTCTTATTGGCGCCGGGATTACCACATGTTCATTCCCAAGACCTGGAAGACTTCATTGGACAGATTCATGGGCGACTAGCAGGAGGCCCACACTGGATTTGTATTGAGATTCTATGTTCATTGGATATCGCAATTTTGCCTGGTTCGATTCGCCACTTATTTGTGATTCAGTTTTGTGTGGAGGCACAGTTACAACATTTCTGTAGATGACAGTTACTTGTGGTTTGGATTCATCCATGACAACAACACATGGAGAGGACGTTTTCTGGTGATTCTCGGAGGCGATACTCTTGGAGCACATTCTGTCTGTGATTCGAGTCCGCAATATACGTTTCCCAGCATTGCAGAAAGACAAGATTTCAAGGCAGCTTGGCATTCTTTGGAATGCATTTGTACAAGTGGATTCCACATTTTCCATTAATCCAAGGGCGAAAGTACACCATGCATTCCCACTTGGACGTAATTCATGCTGATTAGCGTTGCGTGGCTCAAGATGAGAAAGGTACATTTGCTGCCGTGGTTGATTAGCAAAGATCCGTCTCTGATTTTCACAGGTTGGTTGGTTGGTTGGCAGCACTGGAGCTTGTGTTCAGGGTTGGTCGAGGCATTGGTGTAGGGTCGGACGAAGAGGAAAAAGTAGATGGAGATTGAAGAAGAAAGCGGAAGGAAGATAAGCAACGCCAGCGAGAGCATCATCGAGACAATCACGTGTTTGACACATGGGTAGGCGTTGTTTTTAGTCGCGCAGTGAGCCCAAGCAAGAAGAGACTGCGCAATTGCCAGGTTGAAGCCTTGAAGGTTCGAAGACTGCCGGCTGAGTGGAAATAGGCAGCGCTTGAGAGTTGAGCGCGAATTTTGGTGAGGCCTCGGCCATGCAAATCACACATTTAGCAATATTCATGTTAGCTCCACAGTGGAAGTGTCCATATTCATGTTAGCTCCACAGTCCCTCTTCTGCAAGAAATTGGATTACAGGCGCGGCGGGCGTTCTCGGTAAGGTTGCTCCTCTGCAGTGGGAAAACAGCGCCTTGCGCTCCTAGCTGCTCTCCAGCCGGAGTGGCGAGCAGCGCTGTCTCATCTCCCTATTCAGAGCGTGCAGCCAGTGTCGTTGCTTGACATAGGCCTTCCAACGCAGCTCCACCAAGTGCGCCACGTTGTGTGCAAAATGCTTCAAGCATACATCTAAACTCCCACTAGTTGTCCGTTTGCATCGCTCAATCGGACTCACTGAACAAAAACAGCTTCCATGTTTCATTGTGGCAAAATTCTTTGTTGTGCTGCAGCGCGGGAGACGACTGTAGTGGCAGGCTGGGCTTCCGTGTCACTGAATTGATCCTCTTTGTCTTTGCGCTTGCTCTCCCGGAACCTTTTCGCGCCTTCTTCTGTTGAAGATGCACGTTGGACATGGAGGGCGTTTCGCCTCTTCCTTGTATGTCTTTCACCGTGGCGTCGGGCGCAGCTTCCGCCTTGCTGACGCTTTGCGACAGCGCAGGGGCTTGCTGTGTGGTTTCGCTGTTTTCCTGGACCCCTTTTCAGTCAGCTACCTGTAGCCCTTGTTAGGGCCAGGATGATGATGATGATGATGATTATGATGATGATGATGGACGATGATGATGATGATGATGATGATTATGATGATGATGATGGACGATGATGATGATGATGATGATGATGATGGACGATGATGACGATGATGATGATGGTGGTGATGATGATGATGGAAAACCACGACGTTCATGATTACGAGGATGATATGATGTCAAAGACAAACTGCCTGCCAGCATTCATGCCGAGCCAAACGATGGCAAGTTTCAGGCTCGACCTCGGAGTCCGAGGAGTTTCTGAATAGGGTCTCGAAGATGTTGGGAGATCGGAGTCGCAGTGGCTCTTTGGCCGGTCCAGACTGGGCGTCGCGCTATGGGCAGCCAAGTTTGCGGCGGTCAACTTTTTTCCGGCATAGCTGACCAAGACAGCTACCTGTTGCTGCTACGCTGCTGCTGCTGCTGCTGCTGCTGCTGCTGCTGCTGCTTCTGCTGCTGCGTGTGTTTGTATGTGCGTCTCCCTACGCTGATCATACGGCCGGCAGTGACGACGCCAGGGGCAGTTGCCTGCTGCTGCTACGCAAGTGTTTGCTAGCGTGTGTGTGTGTGTGTGTGTGTGTGTCTGTGTGCGCGTGTGTGTGTGTGTGTGCGCTTGCGTCGAAACGGAAGCAATAAGGAGGTTGTCTAAACATGCGTAGCCAAACAACAAGAACGCAGGCCCCCCTCGACCGAACCAAAGCAAAGTCTTGTCCGCAGAAGCGCGCGCTGCTCAACAAACAGCCAAACAAAATGAAGGGTGAAGCAGAGCCAACCTTCAGCGCAGAGGATGCTGGCTTTATTACCCCAAGAAAGGGGGGATGAAGGCAAAGAGCGTGGTTTTCCGGGATTGGGTTGAGCACGATGATGGTGATGTTGGCAGTCAAGAATTTCTCCTGCGGCCTCGAGCCGGCTACGCCTCTTTGAACTTATACCATGTCATGCCATGTTTTTTGTATGAGAAACGTACCCTGTGCTATGATATGGCTGGTTAGGTTATGCATGTTGCCCACCCCAACCCCAGATCAGATGATGCCGGGGATGCCAGCTTTCTGGGCCCCAGATGGGCCCCAACCCAGACGGCTCAAATGGCTGCGTTTTGCGCGCGCTCGCCAAAGGCCCGAAAACCAACGGGGAAAAAGCAAGGACCGCGCAGGCGCGAGCCAGCCGCAGCAAAAGCAAAACGGACAGAACAACAGCCCACCGCTCAGCGCAGCAGTTTTTGACGGTATTTACAGCGTTTTGTAGAGCGAGGGCCCAGCATCGCCGGCGCCAAAATGCGCGAAAATGAGCCTCGCTTATGTCCTTCCGACACCTTCTAAAAAACAGTGCTTCATGGGTTGAGAGGCTTTTTGGAAGGAAGTCTTGATGATGCAGACCACGCCCCGCTGAAGCATCCCTATACGCGATGTTTTGCGAGGGTTTCCCACAGGCAAGCAAAACCGCAAGCCCCAGCTGGTGATGCAGAGGTGCTGGATTTAGGCAACGCATCACGACCAAGTGACGAGGGTCGGCGGCGCCAGGGTGCAGCCCCTATAGCTGAAGCTAGCAGGCTGATTGCATAGCGGCGACATGCTACCCGAGGAGGCGTAGCCGGATGTAAATTTCACGCAGCTGGACATGGCGCTCGGGCGGACCTGGCCTGTGGGGCTGAACGCCGACGTGAAGTTGCTGCTGCTGGGCGACTTCCGACAGCTGCCGGCCGTGCTGGACTCCTGGGCCGGGCGGCCCATCAGCGCGCCGTTGGAGCACAGCCAACTGATCCGCGACCTGGCCTGCGGGCACAACCGGCCGCGGCAGCCCCGCCACGTCACAACAACAACAACAACCACAACCACAACCACAACCACAACCACAACAACAACAACAACCGAAGTAACACACACACACTGCCTTACTTGCACACATGCACACATTCATTTTCTATCCCTGTGCATCCACACTCCCGTCATTGTCGTCCCCCCATGTCCGCTTCACCGCCCGCCTGCCCGCGCGCGCGCCCCGACAAGCGCACGCGCGCGCACGCACGCGCACGCACGCGCACGCACGCGTGCGCCCATTCACGCACCCACACGCACACACGCAAAGGCGCACACGCCGACGCACGCTCACATACGCCCAAACGCACACACGCGGCGCGCGTGCGCACGCGCACGCGCGCGCGCACCCGCACGAGCACCCGCACCCACACCTACACCCACACCTACACCCACACCCACACACACCCACACCCACACACCCACACACCCAGACACACACACAGACACACACAGACACACACACAGACACACACACACACACACACACTTCAACTCCCAAGGGAGAGTGCTAATCCTTCGAGTTCCACTGAAGATTCTCGAGTACAACTGATAAGTCTCGAGTAGGATAAGTTTCGGCTCGCGATGCACTCGGTTTCCCTCTAGTGACGAAAACGTTACAAGATTCAACATGAAGCGCACACAGCGAGAGAAACGACGGGGCCAACAGGACTTTGTATCATCGGCAGGTACAAAGTTGGACGTCTCCAACTGCCTCACCAGGGTCACGAGAGTGTCTTCGTTGGTGGCAGACTCTTGGCCCTGCTGCCACCCCCTGCGGTGACAACTAGATCCTCAAGGTGGTGGCGGGGTATTCTGCCACTCCGCACACACACGCCCCTGGAGGGGCGAACAATAGCTTTTGACCAAATCAGCAACCTCGTAGTCTACCAAAAAAAGTGTTATCCGGTAGAGCAGGCGCGTTCTCATGTTGACGCCGTTTTGCAGCATGAAAAATGGACTTCCACTTGACGTTCGAACTGCAAGGTCGGCCTGTGGGCGGATAGGGTTCAGCGAGTCCTTCAGGTTCAGACTGAGGCTGATCCGCATCTTGAGCAGTGCGTAGCTGCTGGCCAATCCCCGCTTGTAGACGGGTCAGACCCGCAGCAGAGAAGGTGGATGCATCAGAAGACTCAGTCCACATGTTGCAAGATTGTTCAAATTCATCTGCGGGTACGAGGTAGTTCTGGGAAGCAAAACCACCAGCATGCTGAGACAAAAGTTTCCAGGAAGGTCGACAAAGTACGCCATTGCGCAACTTCATCGAAGATTCCACTGCGCTGAAACTCAGTCCACATGTTGCAAGATTGAATTCAATTGCGGGTACTGGAGGTCGAGGTACCAGCATGCTGAGACAAACGTCAAAGTTTCCAGGAAGGTAGACAAAGTATGCCATTGCGCAACTTCAGTCCACATGTTGCAAGATTGTTCAAACTCATCTGCGGGTACTGGAGGTCGAGGCAGTTCCGGGAAGCAAAACCACCAGCGTGCTGAGACAAACGTCAAAGCTTCCAGGAAGGTAGACAAAGTACGCCGTTGCAGAACTTCATCGAAACTCAGTCCACATGTTGCAAGATTGTTCAAACTCATCTGCGGGTACTGGAGGTCGAGGTGCCGGGAAGCAAAACCACCAGCATGCTGAGACAAACGTCAAAGTTTCCAGGAAAGTAGACAAAGTACGCCATTGCGCAACTTCATCGAAGATTCCACTGCGCTGAAACTCAGTCCTCATGTTGCAAGATTGTTCAAATTCATCTGCGGGTACTGGAGGTCGAGGTAGTTCCGGGAAGCCAAACCACCAGCATGCTGAGACAAACGTCAAAGTTTCCAGGAAGCTAGACAAAGTACGCCGTTGCGCAAGTTCATCGAAGATTCCACCGCGCTGAAACTCAGTCCACATGTTGCAAGATTAATCAAATTCATCTGCGGGTACTGGAAGTCGAGGTAGTTCCGGGAAGCAAAGCCACCAGGCTGCAAACGACACACGTTTTTCGCTCATGTCCTTTTCTTTCCTTCGGTTTCGCTTTGTGTGCTCTTGGCGAATTCTCCAAATTCACATCACAATTTGGTTGGTGAATTAAGGGTTTTGCTCTAAATTACCAAGAAGGTGCTCCCTGATGTAAGGCACCTTTGTATTAGGTTTCCCCTTTTCCGCTGTGGACCAAATTCGCTTCGCACCAGTTGGTAGGTGGTTTACCCCAGTATTTTTATAGGGCTTCATCCATACGAATTGGTGCGTTTTGTTGATTTTGTCCATCAGTAGGCAAGACCCATGCCTTAGCCAAGCACCCTGTTTGGTTGGTACTTAAAGGGAAACCGAAAGGGAAACTTGAAACCGTTGCCCTTTTAGGGCACCAATTGAGCCTCGTGCCTTAGCCACCAAAAGGACCCCCCCCCCAAAAAAAAAAAGGCAACATGAAGAAACACTTGTTCGCCTGGTTCCCCTTTTCCCCTCCGAGGAGCTGCGCGGCCCAGTGCCAGCCCGGGTATCGCCCCAGCATGAAGGTCTTGGAATGCAGGGCCCAGGTCTTCTCGCCCGCCAACGAGTGCGTCCCGGAGCCTTGCCAGGCGCGTGGTCGCCGGGTTTGGAGTTACCGTTTTTTGGTCGCGACAAAAAGGGAAACCTTAACATGTGCGTAGTTTTAGTGTTTTTTCACAACAGCTGATAGTTACGGAGTCTCTGCCCAGAAAGGCTCTGGGGTGGTTTGGGGCAGCTTTGAGGGAGGGTTCCGGAGGGGTTCGGGGGGTTTCCGGGTTTGTTGGGGATATCACCTGGGCTTATTTTTGAAGTTACTTTTTTTTGGTAGGGAAACCAAAAAAGGAAACAAACACATTGTTTTTTGGGAGCTTCACCAGGTTGGACACTTGAGACTCTTGAGACCAACCCCTTGCCTGGAGGTTCAGTTTTCCTCTCGGTTTCTAGAGCCCGGTCCTCAAGAATCTCAAGGTCACAAGTGTACAGCAGCTTTTCGATTCGGTCCAACTCCTGAAAGATCAATGTCTTGCTTTTATTCCCGAAAGCATCGCGAAGGGTTCTTCCGTGCGGAGCCCTTGGACAAGTTACATAGAGCCAAGTTACATAGAGCCAAGTTACATAGAGCCAAGTTACATAGAGCCAAGTTACATAGAGCCAAGTTACATAGAGCCAGGTTACATAGAGCCAAGTTACATAGAGCCAAGTTACATAGAGCCAAGTTACATAGAGCCAAGTTACATAGAGCCAAGTTACATAGAGCCAAGTTACATAGAGCCAAGTTACATAGAGCCAAGTTACATAGAGCCAAGTTACATAGAGCCAAGTTACATAGAGCCAAGTTACATAGAGCCAAGTTACATAGAGCCAAGTTACATAGAGCCAAGTTACATAGAGCCAAGTTACATAGAGCCAAGTTACATAGAGCCAAGTTACATAGAGCCAAGTTACATAGAGCCAAGTTACATAGAGCCAAGTTACATAGAGCCAAGTTACATAGAGCCAAGTTACATAGAGCCAAGTTACATAGAGCCAAGTTACATAGAGCCAAGTTACATAGAGCCAAGTTACATAGAGCCAAGTTACATAGAGCCAAGTTACATAGAGCCAAGTTACATAGAGCCAAGTTACATAGAGCCAAGTTACATAGAGCCAAGTTACATAGAAGAGCTTAGACCTTCGGCGTTAGCAGCTATGTAAGTTAGTTTAGGTTTCTAAGGCGCCGGGGCGGGAGTTTGATCGTCGCTCGGGATTGCGACCCTCTGCGGAGATTCGCGTGGTCGAGGTTCAAAAACTGAGGACTTTTTACTATTTCTGCGGTGCGCGCGCGCGACCCTCTGCGGAGATTCGCGTGGTCGAGGTTCTAAAACTGAGGACTTTTTACGATTTTTGCTGGCTGCGCGCGACCCTCTGCGGAGATCGTGCGCGTCGAAGCGCTCTCGCTGTGGCGCCGTGCGAATTTGTTTTAGTCTCGGCGAACCCTCTGCGGAGATTGTGCGTGTCGAAGCGCTCTCGCTGTGGCGCCGTGCAATATTCTTGCTCGCGAAACGGCCTTTGGAAGTTGTCTCGTGGTTTGCGCGCCTGCTTTCGCAATCCCGCGGTCGCGGGTTCGATTCCCCCCTGGTCCGCGGCAGCTCCGGCTTGAAAATCGCAGCTTTTAAGTACAAACGTAGTACGCGGAGCGTGCTCCTGCAGCTCCGGCTGGAAAATCGTAACTTTTAAGTACAGACGTAGTGTGCGGAGCGTGCTCCCGCAGCTCAGGCTGGAAAATCGCAACTTTTAAGTACAAACGTAGTACGCGGAGCACACCCCCGCAGCTCCGGCTTGAAAATCGCAACTTTTAAGTACAAACGCAGTACGCGGAGCGTGCTCCTGCAGCTCCGGGTGGAAAATCGCAATTTTTAAGTACAGACGTAGTATGCGGAGCGTGCTCTTGCAGCTCAGGCTGGAAAATCGCAACTTTGAAGTACGGACGTAGTACGCGGAGCACTGGAGAATCGCAACTTTTAAGTACAAACGTAGTACGCGAAGCACACCCCCGCAGCTCCGGCAGCACTTGCGCAGAGCAACTTGCGCAGAGTCACTTGCGCAGAGCAACTTGCGCAGAGCAACTTGCACAGAGCAATTGCACAAAGCACTTGCGCAGAGCAACTTGCACAGACCAACTTGCACAGAGCACATGCGCAAAGCGCTTGCACGGAGCAACTGGCGCAGAGCCCTTGCGCAGAGCAACTTGCTCAGAGCACTTGCGCAGAGCAACTTGCACAGAGCAGGCGCAGAGCAACTTGCACAGACCAACTTGCGCAGAGCACATGCGCAAAGCGCTTGCGCGGAGCAACTGGCGCAGAGCACTTGCGCAGAGCAACTTGCTCAGAGCACTTGCGAGCAACTTGCACAGAGCACTTGCGCGCAGCAGCAGCTTGCAGAGAGCAACTTGCGCGCAGCAGCCTGGAACAATGCAGCTTGCGCAGACCACTTTCGTGAGAAATCGCGCGGCGCAGTTCGAGAGGAAAGTAGGATGATGAGACGGAGCTCTCATGTGACCATACACACTGAGCATCGCCGCGCGCAGACACGCTCGCCGCAGCGATGTAAAAAGGTGTCTCCGCGGCTGGATGAGCACCTGTGGCAAAATGCTTTCGGGCCAATCGTCCTCTAGTTCAGAGCAATCACACTGAATCGCTTGTTCCATTGGTTGAGTCTGAAGTCGATGTTGATGACCTCACGCTCCAGAAGTTTCAGCAGCTGCTTCTTTTGTTCCTTGGTTTGGGTCCGTGTAGAAATTTCAGGGAGTCCATGGGTTTATTTGCTGCAGTGTTTCCATTTCAGAACCAAGTTTGGGTCACTTCATGTCGGTGTGCTTTTAAAATCAGGCCGAAAAAGGTCCACGGTTTTGACACATACCCTCATGTCTACGGCGAAATTGTAGAGATCTGAACGGCTGGACGGGGGAACATGTGTCCAAACGTGGGCCATGTTGGATCCGACTGCTGACAAAGCTGGCAAGGGGCAAGGTCTTTTGAAGGGCCTCAGGCTGCAGAGATGGAAGGATTAATCCTGTATCAGGTTGGAAGGCTTGGGTCTACAGGCTTCATTCTGCAAGGAGTGTATTGGATCATGCTGGGCCTTTTGGCTCAAGGATGATCCAAACTGGCTATTTTTGACTTTTGGTTTTTGCGTGTTCGGCAAGGGGTACTTGTCGAACGTTGGCAGTTCCAGGAGTTAACTTGGCCATTCAAACGGATCGTCCTATCTTATCCACAGGCGCCTACCTCGACTTCAAGCGCCATGTGGACTATTTGCTGCAGCAGGGGCATCACGGCCAGGCCCGGCTGCTCTGGCTTTCGGCAGTGGAAGTGTTGCACGCCCCTTTCGCGCAACCGCCCTTGCCTGTGCCAGTGGGGAGACACCCCACCTTCAATTGCGCCCTGCATTGATGCCCCTTGTGCTAGATGTGACGGGTCACTTGGCGGCTTCAAGTTCCCGTTCTTGCAACCTCATGTTGTCGCGCAGTCCTGGTTCAAGAAGGCGCAACTGCTTTGGAGGCTTGGGCCGCCTATCCTGGGTGCTATGAGGGGGATTGCCTGTCAGAGGCCATGGTGGCTGAGGCAGGCAGTGCCTCCGTGCCCAGGACATGTCTCCGCCGTTGGAATCTGGTGCGAGGCTCCTTGGCCAAAGCCACAGCGGGGAGGCTTCTCCGTGGGTGGCTGGACGATGGGAGGAGGAACCTCCCTATGGGCGGCTTTTGTGCCGCCTACTGCGGTAACAGGGCTCAATCTGTTTGCGCATCATGTGGCATCCACCAATGCGAAGCCTGCCCCATCCGTTGCTGCCAAAGGCTCTACGCTGGGGGGTGCTGCTCCTAGCCATAGCGTTCCGCGGTGATGCCGCACCTGGGCGCTATGAGCGCTCCGGAGCGATCTGGGCGGCTCTGGCGAACGTCGTAGTTGGCAGCGTTAGATTCCAGGTTGCCCAGACCGTCAACCAGCGGCGGGCGGCTGCCAAACAGGGCCGTCAGGGCACAGGGCAGCTAGACGCAGCCGGGTCGCTAAGCGCGCCCTGCGCTCGCGATGCTACGACGCTCTAGGCGAGCGGGACAACATCGCGAGCTTTAGTTTAGGGTTTAGGGTTTAGGGTTCAAAGACTTCGAGACGTTGATTTTCAATGTAGAGCTTCTACAAAAGTTTTGATCTGAATCCCACCCACCCAGGACCCACTTCCAAGCGCCAGCTTCGAACAGCGGCCAGGGCCAATTTTGAGCGACAAGTTGGCCAAGGCAACGGCGGCAGGTCGCTTGCGCGCAACGGAGACGCGTCGCGCAAATGGCAAGAAGCGGCAACGCCGCGATGCGCGCAAGTCGCGAGAAGCGAGCAAGAGCCACCCTGCGACGCGGCGAGCAGCAAGCAGCAAGCGGCCAGTGTCAGGGCAAAAGGCAGCCGATGGGCAAAAGGCGCATATAGGAGTCGCGAGCAGAAGCGGCAAGCTGGCGCGCGACTTGCAGCAAGTAGCAAGAGACGAGAGCGGGGTCGCAGCAACAAGCGCGACGAGAAAACAAGCGCTTTGTCACCAGCAGCAAGCGTCGCGCAAAAATTGGGACCGGACAGCCGAGCAAGATCACGCAGCAAATCAATCGCGCAGCGCGAGCGGCAACAACGCCCAGCGCCAGGCGGCGCAATTGGCGCGCGAGCGACGAGTCTTGGCCCACCCGCAAAAGGCGAAGACCGTGCAAGCGCTTGCCCAGCTTGCAAACAACAGCGAATCGCTCCACGCACGCCGACGCGCCAGCTCTGGAGTTGTAGCTGCGCTGGCAAGAAGCGGGCGATCCTTCGGCTCGCAGCAAGCTGGAACGTGAAGCAACGCCGCGCGCGGAGCCGCGCGAGCACAGAAGCAGCCCCGCTGGCTTGGCAACGATTTCTATCTTGCGTCTAGCGCGCGCCCGGCAACGGGTTTAGGGTTTACAGCTTCAAGAAAACGCGCGCCGTGCCGCAGCGAGAGCGACTCGACCGCGCCAGAGTGCGCAGAGGGTCGATCAGGCGATTTGAAAATCGAAGAACGCCACGAGTTTTTCGAGGCCAGGAGCAGAAAACCACGGCAGG